AGTCATATATATGACTAATTTTTACCCAAAATGAGCTAGAAAGAGCTCATTGGGAGCTTTCATTTGATATCGAATGAAAGTTCCTAATGAGCTCTTTCTACTGCCAAAGGGGTACTTGTGAAATCTTAACCAATCAAGAGTTCTTAATCAAAAACCAAAAGGACATAGCACTAAAGAGAAAAAGAAAGAAGCTAAATTATTTGGGGCCAAAAAGGGTGTATGTGCACTTTCTCATTAAAAAATAATTTAATATATGTCAAAATACTATTAATTACATATTGTCATCCATATGTTTGATGTTTTAATACTGAAGAGTAAATTCAATAAAGTTGGGACAAAGTAGGGTCATTTTTGGCTTTAGCTGTCCTGTTAAGCTAGTTAAATGTCACTTATGCCCTTCTCATTCTCACCCCTCGAACAACAGCGGTTAAATTCCAGCTACAATTTTATCAAGACAATATTTTCCTTCAAATGGTGAAAAGAACTATTTGAAATGAAACCAAACATAAAATTCTACTAGTCCATACCCAGTGATAGCTTTGTCATCTTCTACCTATGCATATCCTCAATGCCTATGTGCAGTTTCACATAGATTGACCACGTCAGTGAGTAGAAAAACGTGGGACAGACAGAATGACTGACTGACAGAATTTCCGTGATTATGTACAGCATACCATACCATGACTTAGTCATACCAATAATTAGAAAAAAAAAAAAAACATTTGGCCACAGGGGGAGCCACAGCGATGGCGGTTAGGCCTAGATAAGAAATTAGCTCTCTAGCACCCCCATTTTGTTTGAAAATAATGGAGGGGTCCCCTCAGATTATGTGTGGTCATATGCCTACAAAGTTGCGTGGTGATCGGTGAAACCCTTGAGATGTTACACACCTTTATGTGATGAGCCACACCCTCCGCAATATTCATTGCCTTACAGAAGCTCAGTTTTAGTAAGTTTTCCAACTTTTGCCAAGAGGGAACTTTAGATATTGGTCCCTAGATTATGTTCACCGAGTTTCATGCAGATCGGTCAAACTTCCTAGGAAGAGATCGATTTTAAGTGTTTTTCAAAAAATTCAAAATGGCGGAAAATCTATATAACTGGAAGTTATGGGTTCTTGAGGCAAATTTGTTCCTCATGAGGAGAGGCATCTCTGTGCAAAGTTTCATGTCTCTACGACATACGGGGCATGAGATATGCCCATTCAAATTTTGCAATTTCAATCGGTTGCTATAGTGCCCTGCTTTGGCCAATTGATTCATTCGCATCCTCCCATGACCCTCTACCACTGTGCCAAATTTCATATGGATTGACCAAGTCAGTGAGGAGAAAAACGTGGAACAGAGACACAGACAGATACAATCACAGACAGAGTTTTCGTCGTTATATAGTAAGATAATAAAAATGTAAGAAAAGTAACCCCCACACTGCATTTTGTTTTGAAAACTTACAGCCATAGCACAGAATACAGTCATTTATCAATATCTGTTACTGAGCTGACCTGCTCAATACTAGATAAAGATGTGGCATCATGGTGTGTAAGTCAAACTGTAACTGCCATTTACCCAAAGCTGAGATTACACTGCCCAGGGTGGCGAGGGATTTGTTGATGTTGGCGCCTTCCTTCAGCCTGGTGCCTGTGGCCCGCGTGGCATTGGCTCTCTCACTGCCTGCCAGGTCCACCAGGTGGATCTTACTCAGCGTCTCACGTGGCAGCTCTGTGTCAAAATACGCCTGTGGCATGAGAAAAAAAATCACTGAGCAATCTCCGTCTAGTTCAAAAGGGGCAACATCACAGAGGAATACTGATGGGCGGGCATTACGACAAAAGTGCTACTTAAGATCTAAAAAATAAAAAGGCCTTTGAAGACTGAAAAAAAAAAACCCCTAAAAACAAAGAAAATGATCATTACACAAAACGGATAAACAAGGCTAATTACAGCTCTTGAGGGATGGCCTTTACTAACACCAAAACAGTTTGCAAGGAAACTTAAGAAAAAATGTTAACTCCAATTCAAACTGCCAATGTGAGACAGGGCAGCGAGGACGCACTTAAGCACTGCAGCTCACCTGAGTGAAGCTGATGGTGAAGATGGCGTGAGAGCGGCTGCTGAGGTCATTCATGCCTGTGCTGGCTGTGGTGCGTTTGGCATTGCCAAGAATGATCAGGTCCTCCATGTCGCTGTGGTTGTGTGCCAAGTGCTTGGACAGATCTACACACAAGTTGTGGTCTGTATTACATTTTCTGCATTACACACAAGCTGAGAGAGGCACGGGATGGAGAATAAAGCCCTGCCTTACTCTCTACGTAGGGCCCATCCCTGGGGTGCTCTCTCACTCTCAAGCCTCCATCTGCGGGTGCAGTTTTCCTCTTGAGAAGGTCCTGCACACGTTCATTGTAGATCTCCAAATAGCTGGGGCCCAGACAGAAACACAAATGCAAAATTTGGTCTGAGATTACACACAAAGCCACATGAATAATGAAGGGTTTCAGTGTTGATATGTGAGTGGCACAGCACCAAATGAGAACAAAACAAGTTGCTATACTCACCGTCTACTATGAAAAGAAATGCACAGGAGATTTAAAGCCAAATTATTGTGCATATTGAGCATGCATTGCTCTGCTTGCATTGGCAATGAATAAACAAACACATGCAAAATAGGTTTCGGCAGAGCACTTCAAATCAATAACTGGGTGTGTGCAAGAAGCAAAAGGACTAGTCTGAGTGGGTGATTCAAAAACAATGCAAGGCATGGAGCAATTAGGCTTTACGGGAGCGTGACAGTGATGAAAATGGTAGAGACCGCATCATGTGGATGGAGCCATTCAGGTTGTTTTTCTGGCACAGAGTTGAGAAGTCAGACGGGTTACAATATTAGATGGTTTCTAAATGACTTGAAGCGTAGCTACTATTACTACTATAACAGCACAGGAAGGATTATAAGGCCAGTTACATACTGTGTGATTCAAACTATGAATACAAAACGTATGATGTTTTATAGCTATCTGCACAAGAGAAACCAACAACAATCAGAGGTTTCATTTATGGGCAAGTGAAACTATGACCATAGGAATTGACAGAAAAAGCTGACAAGTGGTAGATGCCATGCCAGGAATCTCACACATGTCCTATCCCAACATTCCTATAAGTTTAATTTCTTTAATGACTCATAATCCTTATTTAATCATGCACTTTATCAAATTTGTTCAGAATTTGGAGCCCCATGAAGTCGTGATTGGTGAACTACTACATGAAGCCTTACACTGCTATTGTATGGTCACTAAATCTATGATATGTGTATCAGGGATATCAAAGCATTTTTAATAATTACCATATCTTGAACCAAACATTTGAAACACATCTGTGTTTTTCATGATGTCTGCAAGAAAACGGTGACGGTGATACTTTAATATCACTGACAATCACACTTTTTGGAAAATGTATTTGGAAGACAACGTGTAACTCGCACCTCTGCTGGGTATATACCAAAAAAAAAAAAAAAAAAAAAACAGTACAGAAGGTGTAATCTGTCAGAAGCCATCCCGTGGTCATTTTCAAGCTATTCAACATTTCTAAAATGAAGCCGAGCCAGTCACATCACATCCAATTCTGGAGTTGAATTAAACCCAAATAATGTGCCAGCAGCACACATGATACCAAATGGCTAAATAATAGTTTCACAGTATCTTGATGGGCTTCAAACCCTCAATTTTATCTCCAAACATAATCATTTAGGAGCAGAGCTGGGACATGTAATCATGAAACAATTGTGCTGAGACTGGATATCACCTAGGATCTTGATTATAGTAATAAACCTTAATGTTGTCTTTTTCTGATTTTAAATGACTTCATTACGGTGAAGTCACGCAATTTTCTGAAGTTACATGACCATTTTAGCTCGGTGAAATGAACAATGAAGGCCTTTATCTGCACGACCATCATATCTAAACCGAGACCATACTGCTGAAAAATACAAGAAAGAACATCAAAAAACAGGAAGCAACTCAATAACTGAGATGGCGTTGTTTATGTCATGCTTCGTCATAAGTGTGACTGGAGGCCTAGTCACTGTCAGCTGGAAGTAGATAGCTGCAAACAGTGCGTTTGTTTTTCCCGTGTGCATCATGACACCTGTGGTTACACTCATGAAATGTGCTGCAGCTCTTAGGAGTTTTGAAATAATGACAATCAGGCATGAACTTGTTTCTGCGTATTTTTGCACCATAGTTTTTTGACTGTTTTCACTTTTGCATCAGGGGTATAAGAGACAAACTGAGGCCTTACTGTTATATTGAAATGACAGAAATCAGTCTATTTGAAGTCTTGATCCCAGCATGGATTCTTTGTAGGCTGGTCATATACATGCTTTTTTTTTTTTAAACACACTTTCCTCAATGAGTAAAATGGTCTTAGTGGTGCTGAAAAAAGGCTTGCAATTGTAGGCTCTCTTAGTATTAGATCAGAAAACAACTCAAAGAGGAGCATCATCCCAACATAAGCGACAGTAGCTTTGGATTTAATGCTGTTACCATTTGCCACACACCAATTTTTCCTTTCCAACTCTATATAAGTACCAAAAAAATTGGTCAGTCCACTGCCTCTGCTAATTTCTAAAATTCTCATAAGCAAAATATTGTCCTGGAATCTTTTAAATTTTTATAAGTTTGTTGATTGATTGAAAATAAAAAGAAGAGTTACTGCAGCACATATATGAAGGTCCCTTACCTGACCTCTGTGCGGAATGACACGGCATCACTCATGCTTCTACGAGATATCTCGCAGAACAGACCTTCACAGATCCGTGGGATTAACCCTTTATCTTCCTGGCAAATTAAAAGGTAGAAAATGTCACGTTTAGAACTTTTCAGAGCTCAAAAAGATAATGTTATACATAGTGTTACTTTTACATGACAATATCATTTTTGCTCCTATTATGTTCTCTTAATTTGGGTGTCAATGCTATGCCGTGACCACAAGTCAGCACATGCAAAGACTGCTGAACAACACAAACAACAGCTCATCTGATATGGAGTTACTGAAGCATAAAAGCAATTCCACTCCGAGCTGCATGCCCTCTTGTTTTAATTACAAAGTAACAGATAGTAAGCATTAAGAGCCATATATAATTATCTGGAATGTTGACAGCAGCTTTGCTGATGACCTTGCACAAGTCTCCTGGTAGACAAGCAGAAAGCTTGCTGGTAATGTGAAATTTCCATTGCTGCGCAAGGTGAGGAGAGAAAAGCTGTGGGTTGCTGGCCTCATCACATTTGCTGATTAGTGGGGAGAAACATGAAGATAAATGGGAAAGACAGGGAGCGATGTGTGATGAGGCTGCCATCAGTTAGTTTCTAATGTGGTGAGGAGTCACTGCTCTGTGCACACTTGGTTAGGACTGCTGAAGTATTCTGCACTGTAAGCTCTACAGTGCTGTGAATATTGTGACATCCTGGGTGTCCGTAATGACTGAGGGGCTTATTTACAGGGCCTGTTTGAGATGCAAGTTGGAAATGACCCACAGATGTTTATAGGATAGCTACCTCTCAAGATAAATTAAAAATGGCCCTTTAACCTGAGTGAGAGTGCTGAGACAGCTGATAGAGAGCCTTACTGTATGACCCATCATGGTGTAAGATTTTCCTGAACCTGTCTGGCCATAGGCAAACACACAGGCATTGTAACCCTCAAACGCAGCTTTCAGGACATCAGACCCCAGGTCATGAAAAATCTGAAGCAGCAGAGAAAAAGTTAGTTAAAATATCAGGTCATTGTCCCACACTACAAAAACGTTATGCAAAATGTTACAACAGATGGTAGGGGAGAACCGGGTTTATCGTCACATTTTATTTTAATTTTGAATCCCTCAAAAACTGTATCCTTAACAGATTCTCTTTCAAAGTATAATGGAAGCCTAAAATGTCAGGTAGGAACGCAGTGACTTTACCCTCCTTAAGCTTATTCTGTTTTAAAGATATGTGGATGAATATGGATGAATTTAAAAAGTTAAATTCTAGCTCATGCATCAAGAGAGCATAAGCAGGAAAAAGCTTTCCTTCAAGTTTTTCATCCTTATATAGCATTATGAAGAACAATATCTTCCCTGAAGAGAATATGACAAGCATCCCCATTTGCAGTTTTTTGCTAGCGACCAAAGGTGGATTTATACTTCTGCATCAGCTGTGCTCAGAACCTACGACGTAGCCTCGCACATGGCCTTCACTGTTGTGAGCATTTATACGTGTGCGGTGGTCTATCTGTGTCGCTCTGAAACACAATTTAAACATGGCTTAATAACAACAAATACAAACACCAGTACACAAATCAGCTTCACTATAACTCACAGTATTCGCAGACAAAGCATTTGTCTTTTGCTGGACACTTTTTCCCCACAAATACAACATGCTAATGTTAATAGCACAAGCCTATGGCATTTTACATTGTGTAAATTATCTTAGCAGCTAGCGGACATTTCCTCTACTCATGTGAAGCCAGGGACTAAGCAACATTTAACAAAGGTAATGTTACAAAATTCAGCTCCATTACAGCTCACAAGGTTCACCAACAAAACAATTGTCTTTTACTAAAGACGTTTTCCAAACAAATATAACATGCTAATGTTATTAGCACAAGCTTATGTCATTTTACGTTGTAATAATTAGCCTGGCGATTCTCTGAGATTTCCTCTACTCATATGAAGCCAGAATAAATCACACACTAGACTTAACATGTTATTTTGTAGGGGCTTTATTGTCCTCACAATTTATTGTTCCTTATCTGTGAAATTAAAGTAAATAAAACTTGTATTGAGGGAAATGGTTTTCAGTTTACAAAAATAGCGAGGTCTGCATTGCTGCAAGGTGTAGTTACATTTCTAGGGAAGTGCACGTTTGGCTATGACGTAGGTTACGGCATCTATTTGACTCAGAAGTATAAATCCTGCTTAAGCCAACAACAACCACATGTTGTAGCCTTACTAAGAAAAAAAAACTTCTAGAAATATGTAAATCTAAACTTTAGCTCGCTTTTCACTCCAATAATTGATATATAATGAATTCATTGTGTGTATGCCTAGAAGAGAAACAACAGTGGGAGCTAGTTACACTATGACATTAAAAAAACTATAACCTTGTAGGTGACCTCTGACCCCAATTCTGAAAGTTTCAGTGGGCTACCAACATGTTTTAACAGGCCACAACAACAGCCATGTGACAACCAGCCCAGTTCTCCCCTAAACATAAGAATACAGATACCCTCTCCTGGGATGTAAATGTGAGTCTTCCTCTGTCCGTTGAATCATATGAGAAGTCATAAGAGAAGGTCTTCCCTTTGCCCTTCAGCTCGTCCCCTCGAAGAGGTGAAGGCTACAATTTGAAATACACAGCCCACTCTTAATAAAAACTTAATTAATTTAGTATAATGGCGTTTTGTGTGATAAAATACCTTATAAATAGATGTAGAGTTCCCCTTCATTTGAATTATCACCTTCGATGATAACTGCTTTTCTCTGTGGAGACGTGAACGTGAGTGGCATCAGAGTTGATTCAGAGAGACAATAACAGCAGTCACTCTACCTACCTTTTGTTCAATGGACGGGCTCGGACCGCGACTCGCACTGACGCCATTACTGATCAAAATCAGACACAACACATTAAACAGACAGTTTTCTCAGCCGGTTTTCTCCTGCTTTGAAAAAGAAGTCCGCCTTTGGCGTGAAGACATCCGCGTGAATATCAAGGCAGCGTAATTTCACACCTAATTATCACACCTGGGGCCTGTTGCTGCCTTTCTCGGTGCACTACACAAATTGGCCACTAGGGTGTAGTAGCCTGCGACTTAATACATTTTTTATATTTGCTCAATCCCTTTTATTATTTATTATGTGTTATTATACTTATTTTGATTTATTCAGGGTGCCTGCAGGTATTTAAATAATCTTGAGTGTGAATTCGCGAGGTCTTAATTGCCATGAACATTTCTATTTAATTTCATTCATCCATTTATTTATTTAAAGTCCATATTTCTGATTTTTCAGATCTTTAATACTACCACTGAATCTAAGTGTGTCTTTTCATTCTATACTTATCTGTTGGCAAAATGTAGATTAACCTGACTTACTCTGTTAACTATGTCCCTACATAACACCTACATCTACACTGGACTGCATACCTTTATACTTACCTGCAATGCTTGAATAAGAAAAAGATGGATTCTCCAGAAATTAGTGTTAAATTTGGATATAATGATCTTGAAAATGCCATAAGCGTCCGATACCTGTAGACCCCGTTTTTGCACTCAATTTACAGGCAGATGTCTCATTTTCTGTTTATCTAAAAACACAACTTTGTAAATGTATCCACTCACAAATGGAAAGTGACTCAACCAAACTTTACACACTTAACTTTAAATTGTATATGGAGTTTCTAATCAATAAACCCACTGTACTGAAATCAACATGTATCTAATGTGTCCACTGATTTGAATATGTCTGTCAATATGCTGCATTTGACACTCACGGAAAAAAAAAACCGACAGCAGGACTTGAAACATCGCCAAGTTGTTCCGCTTATTGGTCTCGTGGTAAAAGCGATTTTAGGCCGTCAAACGTTGACTAAAATTTTCTGAAAAGTTATGTAAGCTTGTAGTCTGTGTTGTTATATTTGCTAATATTTTTAGTGTTGGGTCTGTTGAAAAAAAAATGAACAATTAAAGCGGTTATTTTAAGGTCTCATTCGAAATAATATTATTTAGTCAGTGACGTTCAAAACTGTGAAAGCCATGAAAAACCTACAAAGCAAACCTTTACACCTGCGAGAATTAATACATTTCTGATTTATTGTTCTGGACATAACAGTCGGAGGAACAGTACTTTAGTCGGGGAAGTTTATTTTTCGAATATTTCAATGTAGCCTGAACACGGCATTGCTGTCGTTCCACGTTTCCCATGATGCAGTGCGGCCAACACCCGGCGGGGACATTCAAAATCATGGCAGAAGACTCTAATATAATAAAGCTAACATCTAACTCAGAATGCGCGGAACATACGTCCACTATTACCGGCGGAGACACCGGGATACCGAGGCGCCTGTCGTTTCCGTCAGAGCCGAATATGACCTGTAAAGTCCTGTCGTTACAAAATGTTCCCGAAGACTCAAACTCACACCGACCGTCTGCGGAAGTAGCCGAACAGTTCTCACCACGGACCGTAAACACAAGCGTTAAAGCGAAAAATGAAACGGAATTGAAAAATGCCTCCACTGAAAATCGACTCAACTCAAAACAGCATAGTGTGATTAACACTGAAGACAAGGAAAACATCATTATGTCCTCCACAAGCAGCACTCCAGGTTGGTTACCGGTGTGGGTATCCATGTTTTCCAGTGGGGACGTTAAAACACATTTCCTAACTGTTACACGTTTCTCAGATCCAGCATGGCAGATGAGTGTGATGTGATAGGTTATAAACATAGTGTCCAGTGTCTTAATTCTGATTATTTGTAGCTTCTCTGTTTTTTAACATGGTAAACTGAATATCTTAGAGTTTTGGATTATTGTTTTGGTCAAAACAAGACATTTAAAGATGTCATTCTGCACTCTGGGAAACTATAATGGACGTGATTTACTATTCTCAAGTTACTTTACAGATATATTTATCTTATTCTGCTAACAAAACATTAATATCAACAAAGCAAATACGATTACACTATCCAGCAGTATATATAGTAGATAACACGAGCCCCATAACCAGCTGTATTAAAATGCTGCTTACACTTGAAGGCATCAATAGTTATAATCCAGTATACCCTGATATAATACTGTATTAATCTGCACTTAAAGGGAGACACCACCAAAATTAAGTATACCAATGTTATTTTCATAGCCAAGGAAAGTTCAATCAATATTAGTGAACATGAGCTACCTTCTTTCAAAGCCAGAAACCAGATATGATAGTTTCAAACTTGTGATGTCAAAGTATAGGGAGCTGCTCCATTGACAATAAAAAAATCTTATATTGTAGTGTTCTCAGTTCTGAAACAGAAGATGTACCTATATACTCAGAACATTCCTCTGGGTGCTCTCAGTGTCATCTATTACATTTTTCACCACTGATTGTCTATGGAGCAGCTCCAGACCTCATAACTGTTGATTTGGGAAAGAGAGGTTCACGCTTACTAATATTATATAATTACTATGATCTAATACTGTGAGACCATAGGAATAACATGTACGTAAGGATGCCTGATATTGGATTTTTTGCTGATATCCAACATGCCAATATATAACAACTTATTTGGCTGATAAGCAATACCAGTATCAATATATCCACTTTTTTACCAGCTAATCTTAGTGATCATTAAGTCTCTTCTGTGGTGGAATTAACATCATATTATGCATGCATACTCTTATACTGATGGCCCACCAGCAGATGGAGACATGAGATATGCTTTTCAATGTATGTAACATTTATTCATTGTGCAACATTAAAAAACATATTGGCCAATACCGATGATGTACCAATATTATCAGCATTTTGGCTGATTCCGATGACATGTCGATATTATTGTGCTTCTCTACATGTATGAATTCTGAAAAAGGCTGTAGTTTCCATTTAAGCAAACCTTTGAGTGCAGGATTGTTTATTATGCTTAAGTAGAGGATCTGAGTCATTCTTCCACCTCAGCCAGGCAGTAACTTTATGTTAAGTTTAGGGGGAAAATGGGGACAATGGCTGTATTAGAACACTGGCCCTGCTAGATTTAATTATTTAACTAGCTAAAATTGAGCAAAACAGGCCCATTGCTCACCCTAATGACATTACTGTGGTCTGCATTTGGACAGAAAACACCCAAGACGAGGACACTTCTGGTCAGAGGACTTTGTCGGATTCCAGCGTGACTGCCAGTAAACAACACAATGACAGAGAGGACAGTGATTCTGAGGTGATGAGAAGAGCGCGGGAGGAAGGCCGTGTGAACGTGGTTTTCCCTGGCACTGTGACTCAGGAAGGCTGCTGCCGCTTCGTCAGCGAGATCCTCAAGTGCGTTCTCTACCAGAGACAGCAACTGCCCATGACGTACGACCAGCTGGTTTACTCCCAGAAGAAACAGCAAGCCACAATGCAGGTGAAGGGGAAAATGAAGTGTGCAAGCATAGTGTACAAATGCTCATAAATGAAGACTGTGGATTTGAGATTAACTAAATATGTTTGCTGAATGTTTTACTTTTCAGGATAAAGACACAGTGAGTCGGAGGCCGCCGCAGTCTGCAGACATAGATGGGCGCAAATGTCAACAGACTCTTCAGGAGCTCGAGGAGGTGCTGCAGCAGCTGGAGGTGCTTTTTTCCCTTAGCAAGGTGCCCCGTGTGCTGCTGCTGATGGGTGGCTCCCTCGTCCTCCCCAAAGAGCTGTATGAGATCAACATGGAGGCTCTGGTATTGGATGGTGGTGAGCAGTGTCTACGGGTGTCCTCATGCTTAAGGCAACTCTTCCGCACTCTTTTTGTGGCTGACCTTTTGTCTGACACCAGACCCGTTCGTTTAATGCCTACCACAGTTATGGCACTGGCTCACAGGGATTGCGGTGTAGGTTGGTTCTGCCCTAAACTGCAATTTAAAGTGCCAACCCGTGTAAAGAACCAAACTATAGCTCTGTCTACTGATCCCAGCACCTGTAAGGAATCAAGGGCACAGGGGTCAGACTGGCAGGATTATGTGTGGTTTCAGGCTCCAATGACTATCAAGGGCTTTGGCAAATGACCCAGACAGTTGGGGAGCACATAATCTGAGCTTGGAGCTCTTTATCTGGAGCATGTATACTACAGTACTATACATTTTAATGGTGGTTAATGTGAATTTTGAACTTGAATTTTGAATTGAATTGTCCATATTTTAATGAATTATGAGTTACATTTTTTTCTACTTGAAATTAAAAGTGTCACTTAAAACAATAGTTGGTTTTTTGACTCAAGCAGTGTAGTGTATTGTAGTCTTCTGAGGCTTTGTTAGTATTAAATTTATGACAACATTGTGCATTGTTTATGAATAATGTTTTACATGTTTTGCATAAAATATCACTAATTTTTAAGGATGTTAAACACAGCACAGCACACATAATATTGGTGCAATATGTTTTTAATAGACATAACTGAAAAGGTCTACTGCATTATAGTGCTTTCTCTAATCCAATCTTTGGATACATTGGAGTGCCAGTATCATCTGTGTTTATGTTTACATGTATTGAAATCTGAAAAAGATATTTCACAGTGCTGCAATTTTGGAGGCAATCCATTGCTGAAATGATTGTAGCATGAACACAATCTTAGTAGCAAGGATTTGTGTCCTATTTGGAATGACCAATTACAAAAACACAGCTGCAATAATAAAGAACAGATGTACCGTAATTACATTTGTCTGAGGCTGAACTCCACTTTTTTGACAAACTGGAAAATATCTTCAGCTAGCAGCTGGGGCTCCTCAAAGGCAGCAAAGTGACCACCTCGAGGCATGAAAGTGTAGGAATAGATGTTTCGATACCTAATTGATGCCCATGACTTAGGGCAGTGCATCAGCTCCCCAGGGAACGCTGCAAGTCCAGTGGGCACAAATATTCCAGTCCTAAAACAAAATGGGAAACTCTATCAGAGTTAAAACATGATATTGATATGTCTTGACAGTATGAGCATTTGGGCACATACTTTGCATCCACTCTTTTGTCAGGGTTGCTCTTGAAGTTCTCTTTGTAGA